TATATATATATATATATATATATATATATATATATATATATATATATATATACATATATATATATATATATATATATATATATATATATATATATATATATATATATATATATACAGTATCGACAGAAAGTTTCCAGGCCACTGTATATTTACAGCATAAGGCAGCAAAAATAAGATGTGCAACATTATGTTAAATATAGTTTACAATTATTATTATCAAAAACATTGTAGTTAAACACAATAAAATAATTTCATGAGAATTTTAAATAATTTTATCAGTATTTGGAATATCCACCCCTGGCTTTGAACACCGCAGCAATGCGTTTTGGCATTGACTGAACAAGACCCACACAACACTCCACAGAAATATTATTCCATTCAGTTTCTAGCATTATAAACAGTTCTGTAGCATTCTTTGGCTTCTCTTTTTTAATTTTCCTAAATAAAATTTCCCACAAATGTTCTATAGGATTCAGATCAGGAGACTGAAGAGGCCAGTTCATTACATCAACTTTATTCCCCTGAAAACAGTCCATTACAGTCCTTGCCTTTTGGCAAGGTGCATAGTCTTGCTGGAAATACCAGTTAATTGCACCAAAAGTTATTTCAACATCAGCGCCATCTATAGAATAAAAATATTAGCTATAATCGACACATTTAGATAAAATATTGAAGTGGCCTGGTAACTTTCTACCAAGTGTTGTGACATTTAGAAGACCTTTGTGCAAACAAATTCATTTAAAAAGCCATGTTCCTGCAAAAAAAACATTTGCTTTTTGCAAAAGAATATCAAAGATTGTATGGGTTTTATTTAGCAAAGAATCAAACAATTTAGTAGTTGTGATACAGCCTTAGACGCCTGCCTTGCAAATAATACAACCCCCATAATTAGCTTTCAACTGTAAAACCTTTCTTTAAAATCATGATATGACATCCCATTACAGCTAATCAAAGTAGAAACTTATAGTTTATCTTTCCTAACACCACAATAAATAGCCACATTTACCTTGGAATACTTCAAGAAAAACTTAAAATATTCATGAACATCACAAATACTCACAAAGTTCAGTTTGATGGAGGATCCTGTCACAGGGCCAAGTAAGAAGATAGTTACATGAGAGTGAGATTAAGATTATTGGCCCCTGACCTAGGAATTCACTGACTTATATATTGACCTAAATATCTTGAAAATAAAGTCCAGAAAATGAGACCCACTTCTTCTGATGACTTATGAGAGAAAAATAAGCATGTATGGATTCAACTTATAATTCCTAAATATGTTTCTAAACATTTTTACTGTGCCTACCCATTTTGTTAATTGTTTAAAAGCTTGAGAACATTTACTATTATTTCAAAGTCATTCTTCTTCTTGTCAACTTTCATTATTACTAAGATATTTTGATATAATAAGTCAATAATATAATAAAAACCATAATTTTTTATACAATGTTTCAAACTTTTGATTGTGGCTATATATATATATATATATATATATATATATATATATATATATATATATATATATATATATATATATATATATATATATATATATATATATATATATATATATATATATATATATATATATATATATATATATATATATATATATATATATATATATATATATATATATATATATATATATTATATGTATATTTATATATATATATATATATATATGTATATATATATATATATATATATATATATATATATATACATATATATATATATATATATATTTATATATATGTACATATAAATACAAATATAAATATATATATATATATATATATATATTTATATAAATATACACATATAATGGAAGCACTATTAGACACACTCAAAATATATAAAGTGCGTCTAATTGCACTCTAATATATATATATATAAATATATATATATATAAAAAAGACAAGTTTAAAACATTTTTTAAAAGAAAATTAAATAAAAATAAAACTGCTTTACTTTTTCATCAGTTGTTGGTGACTTTATAAAAAAAGAATTTATATTATTTTCTTTTAGATATGAATCTCTTTGATAACCATGTCCCTCTTCAATTTCATAATCATCCTTTATTTCCTTATAAACAGCCTCAGTGATGTGAATTCTCCTATCAAATAAAGTTTAAAAAAACCAACTTATTTCTATATTTCTAAAAATCAGAACAGTTAGTTGCTTTATAGATTTATAAACATCACAACAGCAAATGAAAACCTATACCCTGGCAGCCCACCAGATTCCATATGAGTTGCTATAGTAACATCGTTTGACCACACATCATATTGCCATTTGCGCAAACCTAAAACACCACAATGGACTTTACCACTGTGTACTCCGACTCTCATGTTTAGTTTAACTCCAGTCCTTTCTCTTACAACTCTATATGACAAAGTAAACAGATATTAAAAAAAAAGAAAATATATCAAACAAAAACATTTAAACATATAAAAAGTTTAAAATTATGAAATAACAATGTAACAAAAATATTTATTCAAGAAACTCCTTGTTTAATAAACTAAATTTACAAAAAAAGACAAGAAAATACAATATCAAATTTAATTTTCAAAAATAAAGACTGAAATATTTCAAGTTAATCAACACAAAAACCTGATAAAATTTTTATTACCCAGTAAATGATTACTACACAATGCATATTAACATTAAATTTTTATACAAATAAAACACAAATTACAATTTTTTGTGCAATATATTATGTGGCTAGGTACTAGTGGTATTCTGCACATTATATGGTTTTGCATTATTAAGCCATTTAATATACAAGAAAAGCTTATTTTAAGTGATATTAAAGAATAATTGTTCAATAAAAATTTTTGCTAAGGTAGTTTTTATTAAATAATAAAACATATTCGGTGCTTTTTTTTTTTTTTTTAATTATTCTTAATTTTTTCTTCCTATTTTATATCAGATACTATCAAGGCTGATAGTATCAAGGCTTATATCAGATACTATCAAGGCTTTGATTTTTTATTAAGCTTTTTTTATACAGACAGTTGGGACACAAAAGCAAACTAATATTTCCTGTTAGGGAAGGAATTATCAATCAAGATTTTTATTGTAACAAACAAATTTTATTCTATTTAAACTATTTTTTTTAACAAAAAAAAGAACTTGTTAAAACTAATTTAATTAAAAAAATGAAAAACTTTCTCAACTCTTCCATATTGTAATATTCAGATAAAAAAAAGGGCATTATGGAAACCATTATCCAATCTACACAAACGTCAAACCATGGACATTGAACATTAAAAAAAATGTAAAAAAAATTTGTATAAATAAAGTTATATAGTTCAAATATTAATTTTTTTATTAATTTCAATTCAGTTTATGTAACAATAAAATATAAAATCAGAAAAACTTAAAAATAATAATGAAAACTAAATATCTAAAATTAAACAAAAACATACGATATTGCATCAATAACATCCAAACCCATTGCAATACAGCAGTTGGCATGATTAGGGCGTGGTTCAGGGAGCCCGGAAACACAATAATAACAATCACCTAATATTTTGATCCTCATGCAGTGATTTTTCTGTCAATAAAAATTAAAAAATACAACAATTAAAAACTATTAATAAATTATGTCATAAAAAGAAAGAAATTATAAAATTTTATCAGTATTTTAGCAACTTTGAAAGGTACTGGACCAGCTTATTGTTATATATAGTAAATAAATCTCTTTAGTTTTAAGTAGAGTAATCGGTAGTTCCAAAAACAAAACAAACAAAAAATGTTTAGAACATAGTGTTTTCTACTACAAGCCTATTCATCGTACAACAGTTTTTTTTTCACTGCCAACATTTTTTTATGGCAAAAAAAATATAGGCACCTAAAAAGCATTTTGCATTCACTACATAACCTATTAAATTTTTAATGGAAGATTAAAAACAAACAAAATTATGACAATGTTAATAAAATATATTGAATTTTTTGTTTTACCTATATTTGGCTTTATTTTCTCATAATATATATAATACGCAAAACATGAAAAAAAAAAAAAAAAAAAAATTTAAAATTAAACTTTTATAAACTTTAATAACAATTTGACAGTCAGACTGCAAAAAAATATTTTTAATGCTGGTTCTTTGTCAAATTTTGGAGTGACATAATTTAAAAGAAAAAAATCTTGGAGTACATAAATTAAAAGAAAAAAATGTCACTCAGTGTTATACAAATCTTTTATCTGTTTTTCTTATTTTATTGTGTTTTTCAACATCCAATAGATAATAAAAAAATATTATCGTATTCATTTTAATCCACTACAATCCAAAAATTTAGAATATTGACCAAATTTCTGATAAAAAAAAATGTTGTTTGATCAAGAAGGTTCCCATTCACTTTCTTTATCATTTTGTGTAACATAGGGGTAGGCAACCTGGTGCTAACACGCCGATTGTGTTTAAAAAATGTGAGCTAATAAGTGTGAAAAAATTTGCATAAATAGAAAACACAATTGGTGTGAAAACTGTTTTGTACAATTTTTTAGTCATAGCAGGGTAACTATGGTAACTACATTATACTTAGAAAAAAAGATTTAAAAAACTAATATATTGCAAAAATTAATTAAATTTGTATTTACAGAAAACTTTTTGAAAATTTGAAAAAAGTAAAAGCTAAAATAAATATTGGGAATTCCAGATATATTGGGATATTTCCACTATTCATTAAATAATCTGATGAATATTTTAATCAAATCATGGTCCCTTCCATCTGTTGAAACTGATAAATATCATGGTCCCTTCCATCTGTTGAAACTGATAAATATCATGGTCCCTTCCATCTGTTGAAACTGATAAATATCATGGTCCCTTCCATCTGTTGAAACTGATAAATATCATGGTCCCTTCCATCTGTTGAAACTGATAAATATCATGGTCCCTTCCATCTGTTGAAACTGATAAATATCATGGTCCCTTCCATCTGTTGAAACTGATAAATATCATGGTCCTTTCCATCTGTTGAAACTGATAAATAAGAACTTTGAGATACTAACTTCATTTTATTTTCTATACAACATACAGCTATAACTTTATTAGATACATTTTGTTTTTGCTTTTCCCTGATTGCTGAATCCATTTGTTGATTCAAAATTTCAAAATCATTAAAAAATTTCATCAGCAATTTGTTAGTACATAGCAATTGTAACTGTAATGATGATTCAAAGTGTAAAAAAAAAAAAGTTCCTTAATTGCTTAAGACAACTAATTTTTTACTTTTTAATCTGACTGTTTTAGATTATTTTTGTAATCGACATAATGCTTTCTGATATACAAAGATCCTGAGAAAATGCCAAAAAACCTACATATCTAGCATGAAAAAAAATCTTCAAATCTAGTAAGAACCCCAAAAAGTTAAAGTATTAAAAATGGTTAAAAAAGAGGATAATTATTTAAATAATAAAAGAGGAGAAATCTTTTGTTAAAACATGTTTTCTTTTAAGGAGACATGTTCTCTGTTAAGGAAGACATGTTCTCATTTAAGGAAAACATGTTCTTCTTTAAGGAGACCAAGCAACCTTATTTGTGCAAGGTTCAAATTTTGTAAAAAGTACTGAAATTTCTTGAGAACTTTCGACTTTTACAACACAAAAATTTCTTTATAAAAATATTGTTCTTAATCTGAAAACAGCTTTCATTAAAATTTAATACCTCTGCAAGTTGATCGAAGCGAGCAAATAATTCATTTAATGTTTTGACAAGTTCGTGGGCAGTACACTGTGAGGCAAGTAGTGTAAAACCTTCAATATCTGCAAACAATATGCTAAATTTAAAATAAAAATTAAAATAAATATTTTTGTTTTACATTTCAATTCACGCTATCAATACATATCAATTCACGCTATATATACATATCAATACATAATCAATACTATATATACATATCAATTCACGCTATATATTTGTACAAATCATAATAGACAATCAAGAGCTGCAATAGCTGGCAATATTTCAATTCTTCAATTGTTCAGATAGTTGAAAAATCAATACATTCATTTAATAAAAAATATTTACGCATTGATTTTGAAATTACAAAAACAATATAAAAAACTTTAAACTTCAATATTTTAACTCATACAATTAGATAAAACTAATATAAACTAAGTATAAACTAATTTTTTATCTAATAGATAAAAACTAGAAAAATAAACCAAAACAATACAGTAAAGTGCAAATTAAACAACTAGGAACCAAGATAATTTAAAGGTAATCATGTAATCTTTTAAATAAAGTGATCATTGTCATAAAATGTTTTAAAAATCAAAATAACTTTTATTTTTTATTTATTTCAACTTAATCTCAAAAAATCAAGTTAAACAGTATACAAAATGGTTGTAACTTTATTGCGCTTTATACAAAAATAAGACATAGCTCTAGTAAAAAAATTAAAATATTAATTTAAGCCACTTGAAGTTTTCTTAAAAACAAACAAAAAAACTATTTTTATTATTAATAAAACAGATGCAATTTCTGAAATTATAGTTTTCTTTTAGCAAAAGAATATGTTTAGTTAAAATTCAAAATTTACAAAATTGATTTATTCCCCCACTTAACAATATAAGAAGAAAAATTGTAGAAAAAATTGAATCTTCTTCAATGTTTGTATATTTAAATATTTTCTTTATTTATTTCTATATTTATTATATTTATTGTTTCTACATTTATTGTTGCTTAAACAAACAAGAAACTATATATAAGTAATATGGTAGAAGAATTTTGGTTAAAATAAATGTAAGTTATGAGTGTGTTATTCTTTTTGTAGTTGTAATTTTTTTATTTTTCATAAAACTTTCACAATTTAATAAATTTGAATTAATTTGCCTTGTCCATAAAAACACAGTTTCTGATAAACTGAAAATTTGAAGTCCTGAATTATTTCCAGATATCGAAGTCCTGAATTATTTCCAGATATCGAAGTCCTGAATTATTTCCAGATATCGAAGTCCTGAATTATTTCCAGATATCGAAGTCTAAAAATTATTTCCAGATATCGAAGTCCTGAATTATTTCCAGATATCGAAGTCTGGAAATTATTTCCAGATATCGAAGTCCTGAATTATTTCCAGATATCGAAGTCTGGAAATTATTTTCCAGATTTACTTAAGTCATAAAAACTAGAGTGTCATGTAAATTTTTTATTAATTTAATTCAGTTATTCTACAATATCTGATGTAAAATAATATTTTAAAAATCTGTAACTCTGTTCTATAGAATCTATAACAATTTTTCTAACTTTTATTAATTGTTGCTCTGTAAAACCAAAATTTTAATTTAAAAAATCAATAACAAATTTAAATTTTATAAATTTTAAATTCTTACCTGACATTTGTGTGCCTTTGAATATAAATCTTACTAAACTGTGTAGTCTGATCTTGCTCAACTTCAATATCTGCTTTCATCTCCATGGCAACATGTCTTGGAAGAACCGATAGTAATAACCGCTCCTATTAAATAATAAAACATTTAATTAAAAAAATTCTTAAAAAAAAAAAGAATTGTACCGAAAGCATTTTTTTAATAAGAATTTGATATATTAAAATATAAGTTTATACTAAACAACTTTTACATGTTTTAAAAAATTAGCAGGTCTAAAACAAAGTTGAATACTGACAGTGTTCAGGTAATTAGAAAAATCAAAAATTGAAAAGATATATGTAATTTATAAAACTTTATAAAAAACAGAATTTTTCCAAATTGGAGTTTCCTTTCTTTGAATTGATTTCCTTATTAATCATAAAAGTTTAAGCTTTAACTTGTAAGTTTTAAGCTTTAGATGTTGTAACAAGGACTCTTTCTTGAAAATTTTAGTTTTACTTATTAAGTGTATTGAACAGGGACAAGATTGGTTAAATAGAGAATTTGATTGATTAAAGAGAGAATTGGAGATATTCATCCAACTTACAATTTTACTCAATTCAATCCAAAGCTAAATGAGCTATTTGAAAGTTCTTCTGATGGTTGGTTGTTATTTTTTTTTTTTGTTAGAATTGTATCCTTAAGACTTGAAACATATGACATTAAAAATTAAATTCAAAAAAGAATTCATTTATCAAATTTTAATGCAAATAAATAAAATATTTATTATTTATTATTAATCCTAATTTTTAACTCTGCTAAATTTTCGAGACCAATCATCTCAAAGTATAAGTTTTGGAGACCAATCATCGTAAAGTATAAGTTTTGGAGACCAATCATCGTAAAGTATGCTTAACAAAGTAGAAAACTTATTCAGAAAACAAAAGTTTTTGTTGAACTGCAAATAAAAAAGTTTTTAATATCAAAAGCTCTTTATTTTAAACATCTTATTCTGTAAAATTCTGTAAACATTCTGTAAAATTGCCCATTCTGTAAAATTCTGTAAAATTGCCCATTCTGTAAAATTCTGTAAAATTGCCCATTCTGTAAAACAACACAAACTGAAATGAGTAACATTAAAATTTTTACAAACAAATTATTAAACACTGATAAAGTATTTTTATTTTTTGGGATAAATCCACTTGATTGCTAAAGCCCTTTTTATAAAATATCTCCTTTTTTGTGATATAAATTGAATATTAAAATTGGCAGACAAAAGGGAAAAAAAACTTATTACATAAAATAAATTTATTATATTAAATAAATGTTTTGCAAAAGCTCAAAAAAAACTTCATACAAACGTTTTGAGAGAAAATTAAATTTAAACATAGTCAAAACCCCATCCAAGTGGCTTTAATAATGGCAATACTGCAATGCAAGCATTTTCTGATTCAAAATTTTAATAACATTTTTTGGATATAAATCTTATTGTCCATTAAAGAACAATAATAATTAACTTAATACCATTAAATTTGAAAACTAATGTCTAATCTGTCTGACCATCAATGAGAAATATCAGTGGTACAATATTCATGGTATAAAGTTCCTAAAAAATATTCATAAATTTCCTACAGAATAAATATTCATGGTATAAAATTCCTACGGAATAAATATTTATGGTGTACATTTTGTATTCTTATGCTGTTGTTGTAACAGTACATAAAATTATGTTTATAAAGTTTCATAATGTTGTTGTTTCTTATGTTTTTTAAATTGTTATTTATCTTTTTGTTATGCTTTACATTTATTTTTGTTTTTGTTTTTATAAAATTTTCTAAAATATTTGACAATTCTTTTTTTTTACATTTTGTGTTTATTAACTAAGTTATATTTCTATAGTTGCTTGAAGTTGTCATTTTTAATTGAAAACTCTTAGTGGACACACCCAAGAACAACTATTGTCTATTTTAAAAAATTACTACTTGAATATTTGTTTCTTTTTTTATATACAGCCATTTTAAATCAAATAATGACTAATTAACCTAATGACATTTTTCAAACCCAACAACCATATTCCTATAACCTAAGAAAAGTGAAACAAATAAAAAAAAAAGATTTATCTACAGTCTAATTGCAAAAATGTCACCCCAAGTTAATAAAATGATTTTCCATATTTTACATCAATACATTTTCACTTATTTATGAACTACCAAAATAAATTAAATTGTAAATTATACTTGTGTTTCATTTAGAGTGAACCATAGTTTGTTCTACTTTATTTATTTCAACATCAACAAAAATTACACTACTGTTGTGTCTGATATAAATGAACCATTTCCTATCATTATGAATGATATTTACTACATAAATCTAAGAAGCATATATATTTTTATTAAATTTTGATAAATAATAAATATTTTGAATGTAAGCCTTTTTAATTTTTAATTCAGTGATACATATCTGTTATTTTACTTCTTGCTGGTCAATGGTAAATTCAACCCAATAAAATTGTATAAAAATAACTTTACCTGTTCTTGATTTTCTCTTTGCAAGTTTAAACGCGCTTCAACAAACTCTCTAGTTTCAAGAAACCCCTGTCTTTGAGATTTTTCAGATGGATAATGAGTAAATATACCAGCAACATTTGTTACAATGCAAATTAAAACATATCCAATCGTCTAAATATGTTATTTTAAATTTATAAAAAAAATATTTTTTTAATTTAAAATTTAATTTTAAATTTAAAAGTTAAAGTTTAAAATTATTTTTTTCAACACTAAAAAATAATGAAATTCAATATATAATATGTAAATAATAGATAAATGTTTAGAAGACATTTCCTTAAATAACAATTTAACTGACATCTTCATAAATTTAGGGATACAATTTTGGAGAAAATTATTTGAAAGTAATTTATCAGCAAGAACCAAAAGTAGAATATAATATATATAAAAAAAAAAAATTCTGTTATATGCTGAAGATAATATACAGTTGCTGCAAGCATTTATGCAGAATAATATGTTAATGCATACAGTTTCTAAAGCATAATGATAATAATAAATATATACAATGCAATAATGCAAAAATTAGGTTGCAAAACAAAAGCATTAAAACAAAAATATTTGTGCGAAGTTCTAAAAAGAGCAAAAAAAAGTTCTAAAAGTATGTTAACCTAAAAATTTATGTTTAGCAAAAAATTGCAATAGAGAATGCCTAAAATACATAATACATTGAAAAATTAAAATGTAAAAAAATGGTCATTTTATTTACAATTGTAAAACACGGTCTCTTTGTAAAAAAAACATTTTTTTAATTTTTTAAATTTTTATTTAACATTAAACTTAAAGAAAAATCTTTTCAATAACTTTTTATTGCCAACAATAAAATCATTTTGTCTGTCCAAATATATACATTTTAATAACTTTTTAATTTTTATTACTTAAAATATTAATACTTTAAGTAATATGAATGTAGGGATAAAATATGATCTGCAAATGTACGTTTTAATGCAACTTTTTAATTAATTCTTATGGAACTTTTGTTTCCCTAAGTTTGAATGTAAAAACAGGTTTAAAAGGTTTTTAATAGTTTCTGTACTTATTTACTGTATTTAATTTCTGTCAAAATTAAGCAGCTAAACTATTATTTAAAGAACGTCTAATCAAAACCTGTTGCAATCAAAATCTAAAAACAATTTTAGTACATAAGATTCTCTAATAGTTTATATATCATAATAGTATGAAAAACTAAATCAAATTAGTTCAAATCGATTAGCAGAACCCAATTTGTAATGATTGTACAGACAGGACAAAAATTATTTCTTTTCCGATACCATAGATTTGGAGAAAAAAATCACACTGTAAAGAAAGAAATCACACTTTACAAAAAAAAATAACACTAAGTAGCAAGTGAAATTCAATTGCACAGCAGCAAAAATTCATGGTGTTTGAAAATCTTAAGTTTGAAATATAAAATTTTACTGACAGTGACCAACTACTAACCTTTGATTGGATAAGAAACAATTCACAATTCACAATTCACAATTCACAATTCATTAGTTCTGGCAATCATAAACATAAATAAAGAAAACTCAAAAATGTGACCACTGTTTCAGTATTCTCAATAAAATGTGCTTTAAGTTTTTTTATCTATGTAGCTTCATTTGTTTTGTATCTATGTAGCTTCATTTGTTATGTATCTATGTAGCTTTATTTGTTACTAAGTAGCAAACTACTTGCTCACTATGCCAGAGCAAAAGAGCACTGTTTAAAGCGTCTGAATTCTGCATTCTTTTTTTTAACTTTGAGTCAAACTTTTTTGACTAACTCAAAAATGAAAACTGTAAAGTTTAAGGAAAATCAGACATATTTTAGGGTTAGAACAGCTATATAATTTGTGTAAATGATAGTTTCCAGGACTTTTTTTTTTATGCTGATAGTATAATTTAAATTTTTTTTTTTATCTCATTTTTCACTGCATTAAGTATTACAGGTTAAAAAATTGATAAGAAAAAAAAAAATAATGTTACTAATAAATGAACACAACTAACTGTTGGGTTAAATACCAAAGATGCCTGAAAACAACTGAAAAGTTGCATCTGTTGCTAAATAATTTTCATAACACTGTGCTAAATGTTAACTACTGTCAAATTCTTAATTGCATAGTGTACTGGCAATCAACACTTAATGTAATAATAGAAACTCAAAAATTCTTTTAAGAATTAAAATAGCAATAAATAATTGCTAAAAATCCTTTTAAGAATTTACATCAAATTAGGAAGAAAACTTCCACAAACTTTAGGGAAATTTTATTAAACTAAAAAATCTTTTCCTCTGACTCCTGCAAAAATAAACAATTGTCAGTTCAATAAACCTCTTATAATTCTCTCTTGGAAATATATAACTTTGTAGGCAAATTTAAATGTGTTGCTTAAATGTGTTGCTTTTCTACAGAGCATTTGTTTCATGGAAAATAGAGTTTCAGTTGTCCTGCAGCATTATTAGTAGTGGTTTGCAGGGGCTATTTTATGCCCTTTTTGAGAGCGTTGAACATAATTGGGTGCTGCCTAAGTTTCAATATAAATTAATTTATATAAACATATACAGCCCTCATAATTAGGTTGGCATTGCCGACCTAAAAGTGTTTGAGGTCAGCAAAAAAATGCTGACCTCCTTTTTATGTTTTATGGTAAGACCTTTGTGTCAAAAAATTTTTGCCAACCTGATGCCGACCTATAAAAGATTGAGGTCAACAAACTATTGCCATCATCATTTTTCATTTCAAATCAATAAACTATTTTCTAAAATGTAATTATTGCATTGTATAAATCTATCGTTGTTTAGCCATTTTGAAATCTAAATCTATTTTGAAGTTAATAAAACCCTTCACATAATTTGAAGCACAAAAATTAAATGTAGGTTGATATTTTAATTTTGTTTTTGTTTATTTTCAAAATACTATATTTCTTTAGAAATCTATTTTGACTTAATAATTTTGTTTATTATGTATTGTTACATTTGATAAGTTACTTTAAAACAAAACTTCCAGACAATGACTGAAGGTTTTTTTTTTATTTTTTCCATATATAATGTCATATGGTTTATTTTTAGGTTTTTAGTTAAAAACGTTAAAAATTTATTTAAAAGTTAACACATTTTAAATCTTTTTTAAATCAACAAGTAAACAACATAAAGACAATAAAAGGTTTTTTGAGGTAATCTAGTTTTTGTTTTTATTTTTTTTATTTTTACATTATTATTAATATTATATATATATTAATAATATAAAAATATATTATATTATTATGTATTTTTTGAGTTAATCTAGTTTTTATTAATAATATTTTATTTATTTTATAAAATATGTTTTATTTATTTATACTTGTTTTTTTCTAATTTTAATAAATCTATTATCTAAATAAACAATTTGAATAAATTTAATATATTATTAAATATGTTCATAATTAATGCATATACAAAAAAATATTACATCAATTTGAACAAAAGTTTTTTTTCAGCCTAAAAAGATTTAGTTTCAAAGTATGTAAAGATGCAAATTAAATCACATGTGGTAATTAATTCAAACATTTTATTTAATAGATTTTGAAAATATTATCCATGATTTTCCAGTTGACTTTAATAAAACATTTATAAAACAAGTGGATTTTTCAAATTTGCTGCTAATAGGTTTTCCTTGCTTTTTTTCAAACAGAAAAGGTTGAATAGACATTTTATTAGAAATTGAACTAAGATTTTTCTATGAGTTCTAAATTTAAACCCTTTAAATACAAATAAATTTAAAAAATTGTTTTCCTTTAAATGCAACTAAATTTAAAAAAATTATCTCCCTTTAAACACAACTAAACATAATTTTAAAGCTTAAAAAGGTGTAACCTAATTTTTATTTTTTGCAAAAAAAATTTAATATTTATAGAAAACTCCTGCTTTAAATTTTTTGGGAAGAGGTAAAAGTGTGGCAGAGAGGTACTGCTACACTTCTAGAATAGTCCTTGTGGTTGATTCATGTTGTTTTCTAATTTATCAAATGTTTATTAAACTCATCAAATGTTTATCAAATTTATGAACTGTTTATCAAATGTGTTTAATGTGCAATTCATGTGACAATTATTATTATGTATATATATTTTTAAGTTTATTAAGGTGGCCTAAGAAGTCCTTACAGTCGTATCGCAGAGCATTACTGAAGAGAATTTAATAGGAAGTTCACACCTCCTTCCCAGCCGATATCGCAAAACTTGAGGTGGGTTTGAACCATGGATCTTACGTTTCTGTGGGCAAATGCGCTACGCATTTGCCCACAGAAACGTACTGCGCCACGGCTGCTTAGGATTTGATTCTTTTGGGCTAAATTCATTTTAGCCCAAAAGAATCAAATTCATAGTAGCATTTGGGATTGTGGAAACCTTAAGAACTTTGAGGTTTGATTCTTCAGACAACCTACCTTATCCACTTATTTATTTATTTTTGAATTAATGACATTGAATACCTTATTCTTTCTTTTGTTGATAATGAACATTATCAACAAAAGGAAGAATGAGGTAAAAACCAACAAGGGGAGCACCAACAACTTTGCCTATTTTAGCTTTAATTATCAATGTGTCTCTTGACAGTTGAATTGTAATTAGAAGTGTCTGTGAATGATTTAGACAGCCTTTTTAGATTCAACTGAGCAATAAAGGCTGATAATCTTGTCAGCCCATATTACTTTATTATTATTAAAAATTTGCCATCTCCTAGGCTGTTTTTCATATTATCATCTACACTAATAATTATCCTTATTTTTTCATTTTAACAGAATCTTGTCTTTTTTAGATAAAGTCTCACTTGCTGCTCTCTGCTTTTCAAGGCATTCTTTAATATCATGGAGGTTTTTCTAGCTTTGATGTAAAATGGTATATTGACCAAGCATGTGGCCAACCTTTAGGATAAACAGATCAAAAAATGAAAATGTTGAATAACTCAAACAAAATTAATTTTGTTTACAAGTTGAGATTTTGCTGGTTTAAGGAGAACACCTTCTGAGTTGAAATTCAATTTAATTCACTTTTTCTCTTTTGAGTTGAAATTCAAGATCTGTGTAATATTTTATATGCTTTATATGCTGAAATACCACACAGCTAACTTATTGATGTGCTTCATTAGAATTGAAGACACATGAA